TGGCAGAGTTTTAAAATGCTGCGAGACCCCGCCGTTCCCGTCCGAAGTCTTTTTTTCTTTTCTTTTTTCGACAAGTATGATCGACTCCGCGCGTCTATGATTGAAATTCCGATGCAGCTATCGCGGCTATTTTTCAAGCGTACGATCCCATTCGAACCAACACCGCGTCGGGGCTTTCTAGGCTTCGGAAACACGAACCGAGTGTTTCGCTGCACGCGATTGTTGTGATTTATTGCCTTTTAAAACACAGTCATATTTAACATAGAAATTATTGACACCAATACCGAGGCAATTCGTGGAAATCTTTTTTTTTTTATTTTCGAAATAAAAATACAACTTTCTCTTTTGCGCATTCGAGCTTGAAGAAATGTTATAATGTGCGATATATCAATAAGGAGAGCGACGTGAATAAAAATAAATTCAGGCGCGATAAAGAAATGTAATATCTCGCGAAAAGTAGGTCAGCGTTATGTCCTTTCCGAAGTAATCACAGTTTTGGAGTCAGCCTGTACCAATGCCAGGACAGCATTACCGTATGTACCGATAGAATGCAATCTATACCCAGCGTCGGGGCGCCGCTTACATAAGACCACTCTTCCTCTCTCTCTTTCTCGCTCTAGACAGTGTACACTGTAAGCAGGTACACGTTGTATACGCATTCACGTATACATTGCAACCCGACCAGGCAGCGCAGCCAACCAAACGGGTGGGTTGCAGTGTCGCAGTGGAACTCGTAGATAGGGGAAACAATTGCTATCGGCCCGTAACAAATGCGCGGCAACCTGCGTTCGCAAGCTACGCCATCGGAATCCCCCTTCCCTCCACCGACCCCCGCTCGCCGTCGCCCCTTCCCGGTCTTGCCGCGAGACGACTCTACGATGATCATTATATTTCCCGATTAAAATAACACTAATGCTCCTGGGTTTTGCGATCTGTGCCCGACCCGCCACTGTCTCGGTCGTTTCTTCACGTTCGTATCTCTCGCACCCACGCTTCACCTCGCTGCCGATCCTCCTCCGTTTACTCAGTATTTGCACAACGAGCCGAGCGATTCTTGGCTTGGTGCCTGCGTCTTGACTTACGACGCTCGTAAGAACCTCGTAAGTTAGACGTTTGAATTCGAGCGTGATTGACTCTGCGACAGAAACAAATAATCCAGACGAATGATAATTTCTGCGTTAAATGTGAATGAGTTTTGAGGAGTGTCTTTAATCAGAATCATTATTTACATTTTAATATGCCTAATATTTTCTAAATTCTAAACAATATAGAAAGCCGAGTATGAAAATATAACAATGCTGTAATTAAAATTATATTTTGAAAAATTTGAAAAGAATTAAATCAATTTTGGCACGTGCGAAATTGCAAGTAGTACAAATACCATCTTCGAGCATGTTCTTGAAATTTGATTAAAGCCGTTCTGCCGGTGTGCTCTTATTTCACCGTGCAAAATGCGACAGAGGCGAGATCACCGAGTTCGTTCCAGCTGATTTAAGGTCCATCCCGCGTCTTGATCCTTCAACAATGAACCTGATCGCGGAGTCGCGACACGGACTCGTCCGCTGCCCCTTTCCTGCAGTAAATATCTAAATCTCGGGGTCCTTCCGCCGCGAGGAGAGATCCTCTTTGTGCGAACAATCTCCAGCGATAATCAGAGTCCTCTTGTGTCTCCCGTGCGTGGAGCGGCGGTACCGTTTTATGACGAGGCCCGGTAAATCATCTCAGTCTCTCGTGGAAATGTCTCAGGGACGTCATAGGATTCGGTACGCCTGTTTCAGCGGCAAGAATTCCTCTCCCTCCGCGTTGCGCGCACTTCTTCCACTCCGATCTGCATCCGATAACGAGCTTAACTCGGCTCGAGTATGTGACTGGCCGCGCGGAGATGCATCGCCGTGCCGTTTTTATCTCCACTGTGGAGCAGATTTACAGACGACGGATACGCCGTTCTCGGTAGCGTCTTTATTGCAAGCAAGACCTGCGTATTCCCCGTCGTTAAACTGCAAAAAAATAAAAAACACATTTCCATTTGTAGAAAAACAAATATTCATATTTAATTACATTAATATTAAAGTCTCGTTGTTTTATCGACTCTTTATTTATAATATTATTATACAGCGGCAATGTTTCTTGATATCAGCGTAGAAAAAAGTATATATATTTATTCCTCGCAGTTTACTCATTGCGATGTAAAATACGCAATCAATTTTTCCTTCACGCGTCTTATTACGATGTTAAAAACCGCTTTAACAGATTGCACGTAAATTTTCTGACGCGGTGCATCGCGATGCGATGTACACACGCATGTATGAGGAAATGTGCGCAAGCGAATCTAAAAAGCGAAACAATGTTAGCGCTACCGTAGAAGGAGGAATACGCGCACCAACACTCGCGAACGCACGCAATCGGTGAGCGTATACGGCTCATGTGCGTAATTAGAAGCTGCCGCGAACAATGAAGAGTATAACTTTTATTTCGCTTATCCGCGACGCCGATCTACCCCACCTTCTTCGTATACTTCTGGGTTCGCCACGACCGCGTACGCAGGTTCAGGGGCGAGCACAACCGGCGACGACGGCGACCGCGGTACGCAGGAAACTGTTTAACTGATTGTCGCTTCGAAGTAAACTTCGCAGTCACTTTTCCGCACGCTATAGGTACTTTCCGCTTGAGTTACTTACCTGTGTCACGGACGGAGGCGACATCGGTTGCGAGAGCTGCAACAGAATATTATATATATATATATATATATATATATATATATTTCTATGTGCAGATACACATGTAATACATGTACGCGATTTAACCTTTTATGGATGCTAATTGAGGAAACTTTTAAATTGGAAAATGTTATTATCGCATTATTCGTGTATGTTACACAATTTTTAAGCACATTATTAAATTGAAAATACTCTTAAATATTTTTAGAGAGATTTTATAATTCCGAATATTTTTTATAATTTAATCTAAGTTACCTATATTAAATTTAAATATATATATTTTTTTTTATTACGGAGAATATCGCAGTCAGCGTGTTACTAGATTGCTGTAGATCATGACTTTTATTGCTAGCAATCATATGCATTTTTTCTATGAAAGTGAGAGTGAGAATGCAAAGATGAATTGAAGTGATACAGGCATACTGATTGTTTACCCGTAGTCGCGTAGTCTCGTATCCAAGAAGTGGAGATGCGTGTTCGTACGGTACCGTATACGCGAGCGCGAGTTAACAAGGTTAAACACCTTAGCCGAGTTAACGGGAACATTAACACTCCACGACGATTACGATTAGAGACGTCTCGAGCGAATGAGCGAAGTACGAAGGACTTTGACGCCGCAGGGGCGGCGGAGGGATCGAAACGCGTTAGGAGCGCCGAGGGGGATAGCGGCGAATCAGAGGGAGATTCTTGTCGGCGGAAAAGGCCAAAAGTAGGAGATTCAAGGTGGTAAAAGTGGACTTTAACTTCGAAGCCGTATTAAAAGTTCTTCGTGCCAACGGATCCTCACGCTTCTGGTCTTGCGCTTATGAAGCAGCCCGCTTGCGCATTATTGTTGCCGAAACGCACGCCATTTGCAAAACTAATATATATATAATATTCTGTGGCAGCTGAATTAGAAAGTATTACTATGCAAATAAGGATAACAGAAAGCGCGATCATGACGGCAACAGGAATACACAATATGATAAGGCAAAAATTGAATCTGTTTAAATGACGTTTTAGCATTTTGGCATTTTTTTTTTTTACAATGAGACATTTTACATTTGCAAACCGTGATAATAAAAGATGTAAGATATTTCGCTAAAATTTTTCCAGTGAATATATACATAGACTGTTTACGAGCTTCACACGCAAAGCCGTAAAAGTCGATGGTGTGACAAATGGGGGAGGGGGAGGGTCGATCACGAACGCGGCGTTCGGTGCCAGGGGTCAATCAACGGAACGACAATTTCTCGAGCTATTTTCGAGCTCCCGACGGCGTGGCCGGCCGTAGGAATATATCGATAGAACGCGCATTATCATATTATGGAACTCTCCATACAGTTTCAGCCGACCTCCCTTCCTTAATTTAAATTCTATTACACCCGATCTCTATTCCCTCTTTCCTATGAATATTCAAACTGGGCGAGACCCACCCCCACCTACCACCCCCCCTCCCACCATCTATCGGGTATCCAAAGAATTAAATTAATATACCGAGCGAAACAGCTCTCGCCACCTTCCTCCCGCTCTTCTTACCTCCCTGCTCCCATCATCTCATCTACGTCGCACCAGCTCGTGCGGAGGAGCTAACCAAGGTATAAAGGAAGTGGATCGCGTCCCCTTAGAAAAGCTTGTCTCGACGGCCATTAACGTCGTTTTCACGTCGAAACGGGATAATTAGCTCGGAAAATCAGAGTTTTCAATCGATCAAACAAGATTTTTGCGAAGGCGGACGTGAATGCAAATGGTTTTGTCACTTAACACTTTTGTAAAATATTCAGTTTTCTCATATTTTCATCGAAATATAAATTAATGCCAAAATATTCCCATAGCGATGAGTTCACCGATAAATGCGTAATATTTAAGGAGGCGAATGATGAATAGATAACAGCGATATGCGCATCTCGATTAACATAGCACGTATATGATTATTATCTCTATGGCAAGTGCGTTCCGTTAGTACTAGCTATTACTCCTACCTATTACAATCTTACAATGTTGCCTCATCACGTGCATTATATTTTATAGTACGCTCGGTTGATTCGCCATAATTATTATTCGTCTATGGAAAAAGTTGGCGTGTTTTCGCAGATCCGTGTTATATACTGGTGAAATATACATTTCTAACTGAAAATGATTATAATAAAACAAACCTTTCATCACTATATCGTTAACATGCATTGCAGAATATTTCATGCGTGTACTTTTGCATTTATTTAATTAATTTCTAATTGAATTTCTCACATTTAATTTCTTTATCACAATATTTTTAAAATATATTTTACATTGAATTTTTTGCAGGATTGCAGGCATCTTATCATTCCATTTTCGTTGCGTCACGGAGGAGAGAAGGCAACGCGCAATAATGGAAAAATTTTCCGTAAGTGATCAATTTGGAAATACGATTCGAATAGTTCGCGATGCTCCGTAGCATAGCCGAGCTAAGTAGACCATGTCCCTACGCGGTTCGTATACCACGTAGTCGCCAGGGAACGCCACTTAATGACGAGATAGGCTCGCTTATTATGTGATAAATATAGAAACGTAATTATTGATAAGCGTTAATGAGCGCTACCGTGCACGTAGGGGAGTGCGCATCCTTAAGAATCATGCACCCAAGCTTGCTCACGCACAACAGCGCGAAGGAGCATTGTTCTCGCGCGCCCGTGAGTTTTATCTCCCCTCCCCGCATTATAAATATAAGCATACAAACGTACACAGGCTTATATGCATGCGCGCGTGTATGCGTGTGGGGAGGGGGATCGTAATATCGAGACGGAGAGCTGCGCAGATCTCTGTGGCCGGTAGGGGTCGGAAAACTCAGTAAGATCACCGATAAATATAGCACGTCGAATGAGCACCATGCCCGCCGGTTAGATCTTGCGATCTTGATCGTGGCACGTCGTGCAAGACGCGCGGCGGCGCGGTGGTTTGCTTCGTTTTCTTATTTTCCTGCTGCCTTTTTCCTCGCGTTCGTGCGGACCTCTTCCTTTTTCCTTCTACTTGGTCTCCGTGGCACGCCGTGACTGTGTACTTACGCGTGCATGTGTGCGCCGCGCGTGTGTCTGCGGGTGGGTGGATAGCTGTGTGCGTACATATGCCCACCGAGTGGAACTCTCGCGGGATAATTTGCGAGGGATGATGCTTCGCGTGCGAGTCGACTCGAAGTCCAATCTACGAAGGATCTACTTGAAATCTTGGACGATGATTCGCCTAGGCGCTGTCTTGCGAACGCTTGGCGCGAGGAGCATACATTTTCTTCTTCATCCCAACACTTTGTTAGTCCGCCGACAGTGTGTTTCGGATAATTGAATATCAATGTTTGTATTAGGCTTAATTATTTAAAAACGCAATTCAATAATAGATAAGGAGAACTTAAAAATTGCATTATTTCCATAATGAAAAGTATAAAGAAAATATGATAAAATTGATAAATATGTCTAAAAATTAAAATATTAAAATATTAAAATGATACGTAGCAGTGGAACTTGCAAATGATTTCGAATTCATAAATAATGCATTTTAAATTTTACACTCTATATTCCTGAATAATTGACGTTTTCACATTTTGATTTAAGCATTCACTTATAATTTATTTTGCAATCTCATATCCTGTTAAAACGTGAAAATTACGCTCGTTAAATATTTCATTCTGTCTCCGATAATACTTATTTTGCGCAGCAATACATGACGCGCGATCTTTTCGTATCTCTTCCCAGAATAATTTCGGAGTCGCTGGCACCTTTTAATCAATGTTCCTAATTTAATTCGGTCTGTCACGTTAATTCTCATTAATCATCCGATTCCACATTCAAGCTCGTTTCAAAGATTCGATTAAAAGTGACGTGAATACCAGTGACAGACATCAGACGAGAATCTTTATGCTTCCGGAGCGTAATCAATCCCGAGATTCACTTATGGCCTCACCGGAATTGGAAAATATAATAGTGAACGAAATAATTGCATTTCAAGTCAATGCTCTGATTGCACTCAATTCAATGAGAGATCTTTAATCTTGCACATTTGAACGGTAGCACGCGTATTAATTGATTCATGATTTCGAACGTACAAATCAGACCTCACTTCTTTCACTTTAAACATTTTTATTTCACACAAGGACGTAATATGAAGTCGGGTGATAGATAAGAAGCGTGTCCAGCAAAATGTTTAACATGGGAAATGGCGAAAAGCAGGAGGGGAAGGAGGGACCTTCGGTAATCTAGATCGGCATGAATCTAACGGGCCATCTTGAACAGCGTGTTGAACGAAAAGAAAAGAGAAGCGAGAAGGTAGATTCGTAGTAGCGATAGCACATCTGTCCCAGGACGAAGTCGACCTACAGGAATCCGAAAACACGCGCCAGCAGGTCCGTAACCAGATCCCGTTAAGACACTCGGTTTGTCGGTCCCGGCAGAGCGCAATCTTCGGAATCAAACAAAGGCATAGATCATTCTAAAAATACGCTGCCACCACCGCCGCCGCCGCCTTTACCTTCTTCATCCTCCTCGGGCACCATCGGGGTGGGTAATACAAAGCGTCAGGACGATAAGGCATTCGCATAACTCCTTTTGAATTATTTGAGTTATTTCACTATTAGATACGGTATGCGGCCCTTGCGAGCCGCGACGACGACGCCGAAGCGAACACTCGAGCGCGACGCGACGCTCCCGTCATCGTGCTTTCGCGGTTTTAGGGCGTTCACAAACTGTACTCTAATCCTCTTATAAAACGCTCTTTCGTTATCAAATAGCGCGCGACAGAATAATGCAGTGATTATTTATGATATTAGCAGGGCTTTGAATATCTATTTCAAATATATCTCGCAGTTATGACAAAAATTGAACTACCAATCGCGATTCTCATATCTACTTTTAACTGTTCTATATTCTGAAATAATACTGTCATATTCTGCTGAATCAGCTCCAATTTCCATTTGGCGATCGCGCATCCTCGGACTATTGTCCGGATCACGAGAGCTGGCGTCGGCGCCGGGAAAGCGCGCGTAGTAGGCGTCGTCCAACTGATAATTGTAAGTGAGCGCTCAGCTCGAGCGACGCACGAGGTGTGACGACGGCGCGTCTCGGCGATTATCACGTCCGTCACGATTATGCGAACCGTCACGTCCCGACGCCGACGACCACGACGACGACAACGACGACGGTGCCGGGCAAGGGGGATCCGCGCGGCTTTGTGTGCGTCGCGTCGTCGTCCTCGGCCATCGTACACCGGCATGCATGGCGGATTCCTGATTTTTATAACTGTTTTTCGTAAGCAACCGCTCTTTCCGGCCTCTATAAATTACGCTCGTCTCCAGATGCGGACGCGAACGGTGAACTCTTCTCAGCACCTGGAGCTGTGACATTTTTTCCGCAATCTTGCCTCCTCTTATTTCATGAAACATAATGATTGACAAATTTTTTTTTGTTATAAGCAATACCGTTGTCCGATATTGATGGTTCAAAGCTGGAGCTGAAGCTTGGATTTTTAATTGAATGTGGTTTAATTTTAATGTGGATTTATCTGGTCAATGTGTTGCTGTTCTAGATTACATTAAGTACAGCAATTACGATCTGGTAACAGCTATGACAAAAATATCTTTCTCTGTAATATTTCGTCTTTTCCATACACCCGTTCTCCATCTTTCTTTCTCTCTCGAGTAAAGAGGCGCAACTTTTTATCCGGCTATCTCGTTCGAAAGTTCAACGTCGCACATTCTTTCCTTTTCTCTTTCTCTTTTCTTCCTTGTTTCTCGCTTCTTCTTAAAGACGGCGGTATCTTCGTTTGTTGTTTGCGTGTCCTCGTCGCTCGCTCCTTAATCGAGGCGACAGTGCTCAGCCGGGACATTAGCCGCTCACCGTCATGAAACTTCGTTCGACCGTATTAACTATGGCCGCGCGATTGTTCGCGCCGCGTCGAGACGATGGCGCGATGATTTCACCGGAAACTCACGATGCGGTGCGTAAACAGCGTGTCCGATAGTCAACGATAGTTGACGCCGTACAATCGCTGATGGGCTATCGAGATGGTCGGCGCGCGTTCAAGGAAGCACAGACGAGAGAAATTTGTAAATAATTTTTTTCACGCAAATCTCTTTTTGTTTTTAATTAGATTTTTACAAATAAAAGTAATTGAGAATTTGATAAAAATATCAGATTTATTGCACAAGTGTTATCGAGATTTAGTTGTTATCCTAATCATATCATATGCAGTTCCAAGATAAGATAATAATTGAATTGCAACTTATCAATATTTTAAACTAATCATGTCTAATAGAGAATCGTTTCAGTTGTATAAAGAATTTATTCTTCAATTGTGCAAACAAGTTGTCTATATTTGCTATGCCAAATCCTAAAAATGGCGGTTGGAGAGGATTTTGAACTTTGTTTCAATTTAATTAATAAAATTTAATTAATATATATTTCAAGAATATTGCTATTGGAAGCAGATCTAAAAGGAACAATTGATCAACTTCTATCTTGCCTATTTTTATTCTATTCAATATCAGATATAGCATTTAAAAATAGTCCGCGAATATTTTCTCGCGTAATCATAAAATATATTTAACCAATCAATTTTATTCTCAATCATGGAGAAGACATCGCGCGCGCGTATGCATAGATGCATCTTTTTTTCTTTCACCCCCGTGCGAGCTTTCGACGCATGAGCATTAAGCGCGATTACTGCTCGGTTATTATTATTCCGGCAGGTTAAAAGCGTCGAGTGTCGCTACTGGCGTCATGACTGTCTTGGAAGTCGTTACCCGGCTTTTCGCTGAGAAAAGTCGCTCGTAGATCGCGCGTCTAAGCCCAGGCTCGTGTCGGCCGTACACAACCGCCGTTACAACATATTATAGAAACATAATGTGGCCGACGGGGTGCAGCAGGGGCGTCGCGCAGATGTAGAGGGCGGACACCAGGGTCGGACGTGGCACAGCTTCTGGGCTTCGGCGGCTTTTGTTAGTTTGGCTTCTGCTTATCTGTCACGCAACATGATGTACCTTTTAACTCGCATTCCTGGTCGTTCTGCTCTCACGCGGCCATTAATAATAATATTCGCGTCGTCTAGTCGTGCGTCTAAACCAAGAGCACCGACTGAGAGTAAAAAGTTCACATGCATGCAGCACGCTAATATCTATAAATGCAGTTGTCACCATTTTTTTTTTTTTTAGAAAAACTGAAACTTGGATCAAATTATTCAAGATTAAATAAGAATCTCTTCTAATCTATTCATTACATTGAATGCCTCGGAATGAAAATAATCAACGTGACTTTTCAGACAAGTTACCTGGTAGAAAAGATTAATGATCCTATCTTGGTAAATGCAGAATAATAAAGTGATGTAAAATTTCTTTCGGAATATATACACGCACGGCAAATACTC